GGAGAGAGAGAGAGAGAGAGAGAGAGAGAGAGAGAGAGAGAGAGAGGTGTTGAGTGGAGGGGAAGGGGTAGAGTGCTGTGCGTTGGACAAAATCGTAATTTTAATGAGTGTTCTGGTTTTCTAATCTTAAACTTGAGAAAAAGTCCCTGCGGCTTATGTTTTCAAATGCACCAATAATGGTTTGACATTTGTTCCGAATTTTTTCTATTTAAGGAATCTAACGCCAACGAATTTCAAATTGTTCCTTTTTGAAATCTTTATTTTTAATCTTGCTCGTGGTCATGGACGTGTGACGTGTCATGTGTGTAAGCTCCCCATCAATATTTTTTAAATAATTGTTTTGGAACTTTAGAATATACTAACAATAAATTATTAACCGTTAGTTTCCAAGATATTTCTTCCTTTTCAAAAAATATACTGCATTTTTCCTTATGTGGAGATAAAAATCTATATATTTATCTACCTATCTATCTATATATATCTATATTATTATAAAAGTACAAATAATTTATACTAAATATTGAACGAAAATATTTCTAAAATATTAGTTGACTTTTATAACCTTAAATATTTATATAATTTAAGGATGAAAATTGTAAATCACCTAAAATTAAAATTCTTTTTTGATTTAAATTACATATACATCGAACCTACAAAGTTGATTTTGGGTCAAATCGTTAACCACTTCTTGTTGGATAATTTGGGATTTTATCGCTAGCCTACTTCTTGGACAACATATGCTTCATATAGTAGCCTTCTTCTTTTTGGACAACAATATACTTCGTTCAGCTATTCTTCTCCGGTTTGTATGAGATTTAAATTTATTCCATGAATTCATGTAGAAAAAAAAAATCCAGTCACAAATATTTCATACTAAATATTGAATGACGAAAATATCTCTGAAATATTAATAAATTTTTATGTCCTCCTAAAGATAATTATTTCTTAAAAAAATAGAATATCATATAAAATTAGTAAACATAGAATGTTGAACAAAAATGTAACATTAAGTGAAGTTTGAAACCAACTAATAGTATAAATTTTTAAAGCCATAACATAATTGTGAAATGCCAATGCCACACAAATTCACGTTACGTAATCTCGAGTTCGTTTCTCCCTCGTGACGGACACTTTGGTGCGCTTCAACATCGTCCCCTGAGGGACATCGACCCTTGTCGCGCCCCGTTTTCTCGCGAAAGTCGGGCTTCGACATCGTGACAACTCCTCTTAACAGGAAGGGTGTTAAAAGAGAGAGTTGCCACCTAATGGATTAAGGTGCGTTAGGGCATCTATTTTGCAAATAACTCTGGATTAACCAGTTGCGTCACCAAAGATCGGGTAAGGGCTTAAATTACCTTGAGGAGAAGGTGTTAGGCACTCCTCGAGATCCACAATGGTGGGTCCCGACCGAACTCGAATTATATGAATTAGTCTAAGAGAAGGGAAGCAATTCGAATAAATAAAATGATTGACTTTAAACAAAGGTGGGGGGAGGGGTCCTAAGTTTTTTAGCCTAAAGGATCACCCTGTGCAACATAAATAATACTTCGTAACTCCCTCAAGATGGGGTGTTACTCATATTATTCAGCGGGCACAGACTATCATCTCCTGCTACCCGATTACTATCTTTAAGTTGTTTACCTAAAGTGTACTAGTCAATTCTAAGTCGTACTCTATGCGTGCACTACCTGTCACATGTCTACGGTCCAGGAGGCTTTGGACCTCTATTTGGGTAGTTCTAGACTTTACTTAGGCTGCTCAAAAATGGTAAAACTAGGCGACATACAAAAAATAAGTTGGACTTCATGTAAAGGCAATTAAGGGCTCAAGTTAGCCTCCACACACAAACAAACAAATGCACGCGGGCAGTTTAAGCAATACATGGTTTCAGAATTTGAGACTTAGAGTCCTATATGCATGGATTCTAGGTGATGCTGAATTCAATATCGTATATGTGGTACTGTTGTCCCAAGTTAACTAATTTGCAGATTATGGGGGGTCGTGAAACCTATAGACATGAGTTCTAAGCGAATATACAGTTTAGGAGTGTTTGGTATTACACGCTGATTATTGAGACTACATGTTATAAGTTAATAAACCTATAAACATGATCTCTAAATGATTTATGCAGTAGGGACAATAAACCTATTGGAAATGCTCAAAATAACTTATGCCTCCTAATAGTCACGTAGATGACAGCGTTTAAAGAGCGAGTAGTGAAGTCCTATAGGCATGATTTCTAGAGACTGGTGATTGGGACTGATTCTCATATATTTAGCTCCTATAGGCATATTTTCTAAAGGTTGACAGTTTGAGCTGATTTTATACATATTTAGCTCTTATAGGCATGCTTTCTAGTGAATAACTGAGTAGTCATGCAAAGTGCTCCCTTCATATGGATATGCTATCTATAACCACGCAACAGTAGACATAGCGTCTAAATAGTAAACAAGTAGGGTGTGTGTGTGTTTCTCCTAATATCATAATTTCTATAGGGCTCATGTAATCGAACAACACATGTAGCAAACACATTGTCAAGTGTTATAGGCATGTTATCTACCCATGGCATATAGATATAGAATTCTACCCATTCCCTTTTCATTAACACCCCGATTGTTTATATAAGGTATTATTACATGCCCATATTAACAAGTAAAATAGTAATATTATATGGCAATAAACAGGCCTATAGCAGGCCCAAATAAACAACTAAATACCCAGCCTTGTTGGGCCTTCAACATTTCCGGCCCAGCATACCACACGATCACAGGTCCATAGGGGAGTTCAGACCCCTCTAGTGAGCCACAACACCAACTATTTCATCACTTGGAATCAACACAATACATGATAGGGAGCTAGGGTATTAGGGACAGTTTTTTTTTAGAAGTTGAAGAATGACTAGAGTCTAATCCTAGTGTGTCAGAGTTCACAAGGGCCTCAATTGGACCCCGAGCAGTGCTCACACTAAGGAGGCCAACAACAGAGCCTAGATAGCCTTGGCTTTCAGCCGACTAGGAATATGAATTTGAATGTCAAAGTAACAAGTAAGGAGGGTAGATAGAAATCAATGAACTGACCATACAACACAAATAGTCAAGCAAGCCAGTAGGTTTAGCAAGGTGCACATAGCAAAGTATCACATAAGCAAACATCATAGGAATTAGGAGAAGAGACAGGTTTGCAAGCATACATAGTTTGCACTGGTGGACATCTAAGGGTCTAAATTAAACTTAGTCTAACCTAATGCCACATTAATCGACACTTAAACACAATAGAGGGATACACATGTTGATAACCACAGAAAGGAGAGAACAATAGATAGACCAAGACATACTAGGAAACATGTTATCACAAAAGTTTTAGAAAATAGAGTTGGAAATCCAGGACAACATGAAACGAGTTTGAACAGGTCTTAAAACACTCCAATATACACAGGATTCATTGAAAGTTTATTCAAGTAAAGGGGTTCTCATAGAGCTAGGGCATTATCTAAGCATAACATGCAAAACAACATACAACCGCAATACTGAAGTCCAAATTAATATATTAAGATGCTACATGGGTATAGAACTAATCCTAGGAGATAAGAAATCATAGGGTGCAGGTTATGGTGAAGCATGACATGAATAATAGACTATTCTCATGCATCAATTAACACAGAATGATATCAAAGATGAACACCATCATAATTGGACCAAAGTTCAGATACATGTATAGAAAGAAGGAAAGAAACTAAACATTATGAAGGTTTAAACACTAACCAGTAGCAGAATTAAAAGAGTGCAGAGTGTAGTAACAAAAATCCAAAATCCCCGATGCTTCAGAGTTCACAAGAGCCTCGAGAATGGGCTCTAAGCAGTGCTTGCACCGGAGGAGGTTGTTCTACAATTTAGAGAGCAGTTAAGCGAAAAAACAAGAAAGAACAAAGTTCACAGTAGCAAGAACCCAGAATTTCTAGCCTTGGCTTTCAGCCGGTCAGGAACCAGAATATAGAACAAGAGTATTTAGNTCAGTAAGGAAAAGAGAAAAATCTCAAACCCTAATTTTAGGGAAAGTGTAAAATCGGCAGAAAACTAAAACAAATAAGAAGTAAAAATCACATGCTGCATAGAATAAGATGAACATAGATGGAAATACCTTTTAAAAACAAAGAATCAGACCCGATTTGGTTTGATTTAAAAGAATTTGAAACCCTAATTTTAGGATGAGTAGGAATCACATAAATACACAGAGATTCATACTATAAAAGAATAAGAATGGACATAGACGGAAATAGGTCAAGGAACTGAACCAGCTTTAGTTCGAAGTTGATGAGATACGCTTGCCATGCTTAGGCAAGCGGTATATAGAAGGTTCTAGTACCAAGAGGGAGTCGAATATGGCAAGAAGTGATCGTATAATCCCATGTCCGGTGGGATTAGGAGGAAAATTTGAAGGGGAGATGGCTAGGGTTTGAGAGATGACAGATGAGAGGATTCAAGGGCGGCGGGCGGTGAGGAGTGATTTAGGGTTAGGGGTGTTAGGTTAATTAAAAAGTGAGGGGTAATATGGGTTGTTGATCTCGGAGAACAACGACCACGATTAGTCAGGGGTTCTGGGTCGGGTTGGTTAATTGGTCGGGTCGGGGGGTTATTTGGTTTGGGCTCAAAGGTTATTGGGCTGGGATTGGGTAGTTTTAGGTCTGAAAATAGGTTAAAATTAGGTTATTATTTAAATACCCTGTATTTTTATCAATAAATAATTTATAAAAGTAATTAATAAATATCAAAAATATCATTTGTACATGAAAATGATTAAAAATAATTATTTAACATTATAAAAATATAAAAAGTTATTTTCTACATAAATAATATAATTATACATGCA